GGACTCGAGCCCTCCCAATATTTAATCTTTCGGGCTCAAGCCTATCTTGAGCCCCCTTAACATTTGAAAATGTTTATATTTTCAGTTTTTATTTTCTTATAACTATATTGGCTGGATATTAGCTTATTTATGGATAATTAATCATCAAAAACTTCCGAGAGAGCTGATCTAATTTCAACTATATTAAATAACATATTGCATAGTAAAAAGCGTTTTACTGATGGTAACGAAAACGTTCATGTATTTGACACTTCGCAATTATTAAAAAAAATGTATTCAGAGATCGTTTATGCCGCTATCTCTTCACTTTATGCTAGATTCAATTCTGATGGTTTCAAATAAATTGACGATTTGGAATCAAAAATTTTACATGCAGCAACAACTGACAGTAGTCACTTGAATTATATTGCTGACTGAATTATATCCAGAGGTGTCAAAAGACAGATTAAATTTATATTTCAACATGTTAAGCAACGAAATTTATCTATTACCTCAGTCACTGACATTGTCAACGTTTTGAAAGATACAAACGGACACGGTTTGAATGAAATGCTAGAAGAACTTTCTCGACTTATTAAAATATTTCTTACAATTCCTGTGACAACATGCAGCTCGGAAAGATCGTTTTCCGTTCTTCGGCGATTAAAATTTATTTACGTTCAACAATTAGTCAGCTAACATTAAACCATCCCAGATAGCAAAATTTTCCGGTAAAATGCTGGCCGAATGCTGGCTTGTTGACAGTCCACAGCAGCAAAACGGAGATGGATGTGACAAAAGTTCCGGCACCGGCTCGTAATCGTCACGCAAACATCGGCCCGGATTTTTGCGCCAACAAGTCGTATTCGCGCCGGCGCTGGACCAGATTTTATTGCCAGCACCCGTATTCGATGCGGCATCGACCCGGATTTTATTACCATCACCCGTAATCATTCCGGTATAGGTCCGAATTTTACTGCCGACATCGGCCCACTTTTTAAATAAATATTACATATTAGACAATAACATCTTATTATTTTTATTATTTGCAAAATAACAAGTATATATATATATATATATATATATATATATATATATATATATATATATATATATACATACATATATATATATATACATACATATATATATATATATATATATATATTCAGATAGTAAATTTCCCGGTAAAACCAGAACATAAATAATTTAGTTTAGTAACAGAAACTAGCTGAAAATCTAAAATTAAACAAAATAATTCAAAAACTTCTAAGTGTAGTTATTTTTTAAAAATTATGTCATCATATTATGTACAGAAATTCATAGAAATTTATAAAAGTCAAAACATTCATAACCACGACCAGTCTTTAAAATGAGTGAAAGAAAATGAAATACATTAATTTAATGCCAACAAATTAACCAAATAAAGTTACTGACTTTGATAATAAAGATATTGCATATTATAAGATGCATATATATACACATACAAGCATACATACATATACATATATATATATATATATATATATATATATATATACAGTTGTTCAAAAAATCCACCGACGATTCAGCATTAACAAGTTTTATGGTTGATTTTCTAATATTTTGAACTAGTTCTTTACAATTAAGTCTATTCAAAATGTTGAAATCCATTTTATAATCGTTTATGATTTTAATTGTTAAAATTAATCAAGCAAGATCCCATTTTTATAATCGTTTATTTTTTATATTATTATTAAAGTTATGCATATAGATCTATTTCGACGTGAAGTCATCATCAGTGCAATATATATTTTAAATAAATTCTATTAATAGTTAATTAGTTGTATTTTTTAATATATTAAAATAAAATAAAAGTAACGAAATAAAAACGCAAAGGTTCATTGAAATTAGTAAACAAAATATTTGAAATTATACGATTGTTCATGCTACGTGGCCGTTGTCAAGATGGCAACCAACAATGTCACAAATTTGAAGCGCGAAATTAATTAGAATATCGTTTCTATTATTATTATTATTATTAATATTATTAATTATTATTATAATTATTATTATTATTATTATTATTATTATCATCATCATCATCATTACCATTATTATTATTGTTGTTGTAGTTGTTGTTCTTTTTATTGTTGCTGTTGTTGTTGCTATCGTTGTTTGTATTGTTGTTGTCGTCGTCATCATTGTTATTAAAAGTATTATTATTATTATTATTATCGATGACGTTAAAATTATTAGCAACAATGTTGACGTTGTTAATTAATCTATGCGTAGGGAGAGTTGTTTTAATTTGTTGTTGGTTGTTCAATGTAGGTTTTTGCATTTCTACTAGAATGGCTTCAGCGAGTTTAAGATTTTGATATTGTTGGGTACTATAGATGATGGTTGTGTTGTCATTTAGTATACCTCTGGTGATTGTTGTGTTGTGTTTGTCAAGGAGATGGGTTTTAATGGCACCTTCTCTCTTATGCATCGTCAATCTCCGTGATAAATCCGTGGTAGTCATGCCGATATATGATGATTTTAGACGCATACAATCGTCAACTGGACAGGAAAATTTATATATGACATGACTACGTTTCGGTTGTGATTCAACACGTGGTGTGCAATTATTTATTAAGATGAGGTTTGATGTTTTAGTGTTTTTATAAAAAATCCTTAGTTTGATTTTATCATTAGGATCTGTAGGAATTATATTGTTTTTTATTATATTCTTCATTATCAATTCATCGATTTTATAAGAGGAAGACATGAAATTACGGTAGTACAGTATAATATCCTTCTTATTGTTGTTATGGGTGTCGACATTGTTATTTTCGTTGCTATTATTTTCAGGGTTATTACAGATGCCGTTGATGTTGTTGTATCTATCATTGTTGTTATTGTTGTTGTTATTGTTATTGAATTTATTGTTAACTTGAATAATGACTTTTTCAATCTGATTTAGGTCGTAGTTATTGTTAACAAGTAATTTAGTGACACGTTTGATTTCCGATTGAGCATGTTCAACTGTTGTCGAGTGTGTAAATGCGCGATTGATGAATGATCTAATTGTGCTGATTTTATAATCTTCAGTGCACTCACTTATTCCATTTAAGCAGATGCCTTTATTGGTATTTTTTATGTAAACAGAAGTTGTAAAATTATGGTTGTCATGTTTAACAAGAACATCAAGGAATGGTAGAGATCTATTAGCTTCGTGTTCTATTGTGAAATTAATTTTTGACTGGTTGAAGATCATTAAGAGTTGTTGAACATAGTCTGGATTGCTATATGAGATAAAAATGTCGTCTACGTAACGTATATAGATATGTGGTTTAAGTTCCGGATGTTTTTTGAAAGTTTCGCTTTCTAAATATCCTACATAAAAATTGGCAAAGGTTGTTAAAATTTTGATTCAAATTGTTTAAATTAGTTGTAATATCGTTCACAATATGTCGTTTATTATCTAACTCCCGATTAAGATGTAGTAGGCGTTGCTCACGTTCTTGCTCGGTAGTTAAGCTTGATCGGCTGGTCGAGGTTAGTTTGGTAAAATTAGGAAGAAGACCAAGTTCTATACAGTTGTTCAAAAAATCCACCGACGATTCAGCATTAACAAGTTTTATGGTTGATTTTCTAATATTTTGAACTAGTTCTTTACAATTAAGTCTATTCAAAATGTTGAAATCCATTTTATAATCGTTTATGATTTTAATTGTTAAAATTAATCAAGCAAGATCCCATTTTTATAATCGTTTATTTTTTATATTATTATTAAAGTTATGCATATAGATCTATTTCGACGTAAAGTCATCATCAGTGCAATATATATTTTAAATAAATTCTATTAATAGTTAATTAGTTGTATTTTTTAATATATTAAAATAAAATAAAAGTAACGAAATAAAAACGCAAAGGTTCATTGAAATTAGTAAACAAAATATTTGAAATTATACGATTATATATATATATATATATATATATATATATATATATACAACAACAACACACGTTTAGACGACATTTTCTCCGAGATCGGGGGTTGCCGTTTGGCTACCTATAATGAAACAGAAATACCTCTCGACGCCATTCACATCTTGTCACTAGCCTCAGTATCACGCAACCCCGCTTTCACTCTGTCTTTCTCCACCTGCTCTCTCCATTCTAATCGCTCCTTCAACCTCAAACTCCAACGCTCGCCTAATCCCGACCATTTCATCACTTCTCAACACATGTCCATACCACCGCAATCTCGATCTCCTTTTCAATGTCACAATGTCCTCATTCAGTCCTATCATAGACATCAGCTCTGTGCTGCTCCTGCTATTTTTCACTTTAACCCCACACATAATATATATATATATATATATATATAAAACTAGTATCTATGTGCTGCTTTTGGCTTGTTCCCTTTTGGCTCTTCCACCATACCTGTCCGGTGCATTCCGAAGCCATGTTTTCACCTCAACATCACAATCTGCCTCTGTGGCATGCCCAGTCCTGTGTTATATGGAATATCTAAAAGTCAAAAATTACGTCTCCAGAGAATAATGAATAAAGCCGCTAGAGTAGTACTCAATTCAAATACACCGTTACATTGCCTGTTATCAACGACCTCGTCGAATCTAATGAACTTCCATAGGCTTCTATTTCACTTTCGAGTTTTATTTAAAATAGCTGTCGTCGTCTTCAAACTTTTAATCTCGCATTTACCGTCGTATCTCGGTGATATTCTACATAGAAATACAAACAATCGTCAACTTCACTCTGCCATTTCTCTACGTTTCATCAGCATAAAACAACAAACAATATTGCTGGTCGTACATTCCGACAAGCTGCTCCTCACGTTTGAAATTCGCTTCCGCCAAAGATTAAGAACTTCAGCTATACACAGTCATTCAAGTCGTTATTAAAAACATTTTATTTCGATAGAGCGTTTTTAAACGTCTGACAGAGAATGTTTTCTTGTTTCAAGAGCGCCTCAGTAGCTTGCCAGGGTGCTTTATAAGTCAACATTATCATTCGACAAATTCTTTTCGTCAATCTATCTGCCGATTACTTCCCAATGTCATCAGGATTGATGTAATTCGTTTCATTATTGTCATCTTCCTCTTCATCAACGTGATGACTGCCTTTCTGTCCGTCAACACGTGCTTCATAGTTGTCACGTGCATTGCAGATTTGCAGATATCACGTGCATCGTAGTTGTCACATGCATCGCAGTCGACATCATCCGTTGGTGAATACGCTGGTAGAATAATTGCCGACTTTTGTGTAGCCGTTTCTGGTATAGCTGTTTCAACTGTCTCTTTGCTAGATGATGTTCTTTCAAAGGTTTGTATTATTCCATTGGCAGCTCGTAATTCGGCTCTCCTTTCTCTTGATTCGGCTATCCGTTGATCAATTTTTGTCGTCAGTTCAGCGTTTTGTTTATTTATTTCAGCCTTTATTCCACAAATTTTTTTTTGCTCGACGGTCGTCATCAGATTTTTTGCTAGACGGTCTTCATAAGCCTTACATTCCGCGAACTGCTGGTCGGTATAAGTCATAATTTCCGCAAATTGCTTTTCTGCTCGACGGTCGATATCAGCCTTTATTTCCGCACAATTGCATGTCAAACGTGAACAAATTCGTGTTGTTCGTCTCTTAGAATTTGATCTTTGCTCGTTTTCGTCTGTTGTCCGTTGAGTGCTGCTAGAACAGGGGACTCGATTGGTCTCTGTAGTTTCTTTCTTCAGACTAATTATATTGATTTCCTCTAGCACTGGTATTCTTCACTGCAGTGAGTTTCAAGCTATCAAAAATCTTACTTCTGACACCAGTGTTGTAACCTCCTGAAGATCCCACTTCTGACACCAGTGTTGTAACCCCTTGACCTCGTAACTACCAACAGCGATGTTATAACTTTAATAATTTCTTTATCTCCAACTCCTTGTTGTACCTTCCAACGATAATCAAGAGTTCGTTTATCCGTAGGTTTAAGATTTTCGATAGATGAACACAACTACTTTAAACGCAAATTAAGTTGAACGTTTATTTGAATGCTAGCAGTAATAAAAACAATAATTTAGACTAAATAACTACATAAATCGCATTTACAACCTCGCATCGAATCTCTCTTATAGTTCAACTGCTACCACTCAATTTTATTTCTCGCTCTCTTCTTCCCTGATTGTTCTTCTCTGCTTCTTCGTTGTTTATACAGCTATCGATGTGCTTGTAAATGTCCCAAATAAAAGTGTCACGTTCATAAATGAATTTACAACCCTTTAAATAATTTACAACTCTCTAATTAATTTACAAACTGTTCATTCCTCAATGCATGCTTAACAATTTCTAGCCTTTAACAGTATGTTTAATGTGCTATTGACCTATTATTACAATTCATTTATTTTATCTTATTTTACTCTGTTTAATATGAAATATTTAATTCTTGAACGTTAGATATTATGAAGTTATTAAAAACGTTATTGAAAAACATTATTATTAGTAATATTATTTTATGTATTTTCATTTTCATAGTTTAAATTATATGTATATTGCATTAAATTATTACAATTTCATTTTATAATTTTATTATATTGGCTTTTTTTGATAATTACTTTTATTGATTTTCATGCATTATTTTTTGGATTATCTTTAATTTTAATTATTACACATTGACTTCAAGTATTTTATATCGATTAATCCATTCTTATATTTTTATTTACTAATTTGACTTATTTATTTATCTTATATAATTTTATTTGTCATGATTCATCTCATATAGAAGTATAAATAGTTGACAGCAAGTAATGGCAAACTACTGACCACAACTTTTGCTAAAAAAAACTATTGACAAACACAAACCAAATAAAAAAGAATCATGATAGTGACACGTTGAATACACTTTTCCCTCTGGCAACAGGGAACGTTAGAACGTTGTTCCTAACTGGAAAATTTGAGAACTTAAAACAAGAAATGAAAAGAATGAATTACAGTTTGAGCGTAACTCGGTGGAAAAAATCAGGTGTCATTACTTTTGAAGAAAGCACATTTATCTACTCTGTAGGTTATTCACACGAACGAGGAGTAAGTGTACTTTTGGACAAAGAAATGTCTAAACATTTAGAAGGTTTCTGGAAAAAGGACTTGTACCGTTTCTCGATACACAAAATTTATTTATTTGTTTATTTTTTCAAAGACACAAAAAGTAAAGCTAAATCAGTGTAAAGCTAAATCAGATAAAATAATTTAAGATTAAAAATATGTACTTGAAAGATAGTCTGAATACATTAACGATCTTTTTGATGATATCAATGGTGAAAAGCTTCCTATTAAAAAAGACGTAGAAAGACCAAAGATACTTAGATCTGAAGTTTGTGCCGCTCTTTCCAAAAAGAAATCCAATACAGCATCAGGTCTAGATGAGATAGTTGTTGAAAAAATAAATGCTTTGATAAATTTGGCATTGAAAAAGTGAGAAATTTTGAATGATATATAACAGAGGCGAAATTTTTAAAGATCTATCCAAGTCAACATTTATTGCATTGCCTGAAAAACCTAATATAAACGAATGTTAACTACATCGAACAATTATCTTGATGAGTTATCTAAAAAAACATCTTCTGAGAATTATTATGATATGAACACGAAGCAAAATAAGATCTGAAATTTCAAATGTCAAATGTATTTTTGTCGAACAAGCGATGAAAGACTTGTTTATGTGTATTGTCGATTACTTCAAAACTTTTGATAACGTGAAACACGTGGAGATTATAGAAATATTGGAAAATATTCATATCCACTCATACACTTTTAGGTCTACTCATACACATTTATGTCCACTCATACACATTCATATCTACTCATACACATCAATATGTACCTCCATACCTTCTTCGTATTTTTATTTTAATAAGAAGAAAACCGTTTAAGTTTATTCTTAAATAAATGAACTAAGGTGATATTTCTTTTTTATTTCCCTTGGGTTTTTTTTTATTCCAAACTCGAGGCCTTGTTATTCTCAGACTTGAATTAATTAACTTAATTTTTTGAGGTCTAAAGTAAAAAGCATTCGTGCTTCTTAATGCTTTCAATTGCACTTTGGATGTTAATGTAAAAAAAATTAAAAAAAGAAACGCGGTAGTTTTTGTTGCAAAAATTTAAACATAAATATGGCTAGAAAATATACGTGTATGTTTTTGACATCCATAATGTTCAAAACCTTGTAATATGTAGTAATACTGCAATGTGGGTAGAAAAAAGAATCAGTCGAATAACCCGATTTTGAGTTCTGAGTTTTATACAAAGAATCCACATGAAGACTTAGCAATGTTAAATAACAACTTTAACTGCAGCGCCAATTGGTTTTCTATAAATGGCCTAGTAGTAAACTATTCTGAATACACTCATGTAATATTTGGCTCAAAAAAAGTCACAAATTGCATTAGTGACCTGAAAATAACCATAAATGACATTATAACCCGATTTGAATATGATGTGAATCGGGACTATTACCCCAGAGAGGATTGCAATATACAAAATAGGGATATATCAGTGAAAGGTAAAGGTTAAATAGTATGTCTCTATTAACTTTTTTTTACTTTAGTGATATAGTTTTAATTAATATGATGATCCCATGACAAGTTATCCCTAATCACCATGCCAAGAAATTTAGTTTCAGTTGAAAGTGGAATTATAATGTCATTTATGGTTATTTTCAGGTCACTAATGCAATTTGTGACTTTTTTTGAGCCAAATATTACATGAGTGTATTTAGAATAGTTTACTACTAGGCCATTTATAGAAAACCAATTGGCGCTGCAGTTAAAGTTGTTATTTAACATTGCTAAGTCTTCATGTGGATTCTTTGTATAAAAATAAATGGTCATATCGTTTGCAGAGCAAAAATTTGGCAATAGTGGGAGTCTTGCAAAGATCGTTGTGAATATCGTAAAGAGCAATGGCCTAAAAATTGACCCCTATGGGACTCCGGCATTAATACCGAGTTTATCAGAGTTGCTCCCGTAAATTTTAACATATTGTTGTCTATTTTTTAGGTAAGTGGTAAATAACGAGAGTGCCACTCCTCTAACGCCACATGGTTTCTGCTTTTTTAAAAGCTTACAGTGGTTGATAAGATCAAAAACCTTTGATAGGTCGATGATGATACCGACCGTTTAAAATTTCTCATTCAAATTTTGCATCACTCTGCGCAAACTCTAAAATCGCAAGTTCAGTTGAATGGTTGGCTTAAAAGCCATATTGCCTGTCATGAATGATATTATTTAAATTGAAAAATTAAGTTAATTTACATAAACACCTTTTCCAGAATTTTAGACAGAGGTGAGAGGAGAGAGGTAGGTCGATAGTTTGATACATTCAGCCTATCACTTTTTTTGTAAGTTGGTATGAACCTGGAGGTTTTGAAACATTCTGTGAAAATCCCCTGAGACAACGAAGAATTGCAGATGTTTGTGAATAAAACGGCTATTTTATTAATTATATGTTTAATTAAGTAATTGCTTGATTGATCGTGAGAAAATTTTTTTTTATTTTTCATATTTGTAGCACAAAGTATTTATAAAGTTATAGTCGAGATTATTTTGTGTAGCATTAATATTATTTTGTAACAGTGATTTGATGATGCTTATGCAATAGTTATTAAAAATGTTGCAAATTTCATTTTTGTTTTCAATTAATAAATTATTGCTTTTTATTTTGTGTATATTTAGTTAGTCTTTTTTAGTATTTAGTATGCTTTTTTATTACATTCAATTGCTGTTTAATATCACTTTTGTACTCTAGAAACTTATTGTTATAAAATGTTTTTTCAACACAACTTTTGTAATTGGTAAAATTATTTCCGAACTTTTTATATGTCGTTAAATATTTTAGATTTGGATCAGCTCTATATTTCTTAAACAATTTGTTTTGCTGCCTTGACTTAAATAAGATTTTTTCGGAGATCCATAGTTTTTTGATTTTACACTTAAATGCTTGGAGAGGAGGGTCTAAGGTATTAATGATGTTAACATACAATAAAGAGCAGGCAGTATCTATATTATTTTCAGTGGTAACATGGATCCAGTCTACAGAAGAAAGTGAGCTTATAATTTTATTAATCCTATTAATTGTTAATCTACATTTAATTAAAGGATCCTGGTTAACAACAGACAAATTAGATTGGAAAAGGGAAAAGATCGGAAAATGATCTGAAAAATCTGTGATAATAATTCCACTATTATTACTACTGAATCTTTCTCTGTATTTACTCCAATAAATCTTTTAGAACTAACTAAAATTATTAATTCTATGTCGTCTACAACCTGTTCTCTAGATCTACTTCCTTCTAATTTACTTAAAGAATTTTCTTCAATATTTTATCCAATCATTCTCAAATTAGTTAATTTATCTCTTTCCACCTCTAAATTTCCTACTTCTTATAAGAATTTTATTGTTATTCCTATTCTTAAAAACCATCCCTAGATCCTACCTCTTTATCTAATTATAGACCTGTAACTAATATTACTTTCATCTCTAAAATAATAGAAAAAATTGTTTTTAATCAACTCTCATCTTATTTAGACTTTAACTCTTTGCTACCTGTATCTCAATCTGGTTTCAGACCTGCTCGCAGTACTGAAACTTCTTTATTTAAAATACACAATGATATCTTTCTCTCTAGTGACAATAGTAATCTTACTCTTCTTCTTGCTCTTGACTTTTCTTCAGCTTTTGATACTGTTGACCATACTATTCTCTTGAGACTGCTGCATCTTTCTTTTAATATTACTGATTCTTGTCTATCTTGGTTTTCTTCTTATCTCTGTAATCGTTTTTCTTCTGTTATTCTCAATAATTCTACTTTTAACTCCTCTACTCTTACTTTCGGGGTACCTCAGGGTTCTATCCTTGGCCTTCTTCTATTTATACTCTATACATCTGAACTACCTCGTATTATTAATAATTTTCTTTCTCTAGCCAAATATATGCTGATGATTCTTACATTTATACTTCTTTTCCTCCATCTAATCTCAATAGTGTTCTTCATAATTTATCTCTATGTCTTTCTTCGATTATCGCTTGGTCTGACTCTATGTGTCTTAAACTTAATCCTTCTAAGTTTGAATTAATTTGTTTTAATAAATCTAAACACTCAATTACTATTCCTCCTATTATCTTACCTGATTCTAAAACTCTTGATGTCTCTCATAAGTTTCGTAGTCTAGATTTTATCTTTGATTCTACTATGTCTCTCTCTTCTCAGATTAATAGTGTTGCTAGAAGCTCTTACTTTCATCTACGTAGAATAAAAAAACTTTTGCCTTTTTTTGATGATCCTACTCTCTCC